AAAAATTGTATTAAAAAAAAAAACAAAAAAAAATCTTAATTTATAAAAAAATTAAAAATTGATGATTCTCAATTTCTCTTAGAGAATCCCGAATTCCCATAGAGAATCATTATTTTTGATGAGTTCTCATAGTGAGTCTGCCAAAATAATGAATTCTCTTAGAAAATTGTTATTTTTAACCAGTTCTCATAGCGGGTCTGCTAAAATAATGAATTCTCTTAGAGAATTGTCAAATTTGGCGAGTTTTCATAAAGGATTCGCCAAAATAATGATTTTCTTTTAGAGAATCGTCATATTTGGCGAGTTTCCATAGAGAGTTCGCTAAAATAACAAATTCTCTTAGAGAATCATTATCTTTAGCGATCTCCTATAGTAGTTCTGCTAAAATAACGAATTCTCTTAGAGAATCATTATTTTTTAACAGTTTCTCATAGTAAGTCCGCTAAAATAATGAATTCTTTTAGAGAATTATTATCTTTAGTGGTCTCCCATAATGGTTTCGCCAAAATAATGAATTCTCTTAGAGAATCAATATTTTTGATGGGCTTTCATAATAGTTCTGCCAAAATAATGAATTCTCTTAGAGAATCGTTATTTTTAGTGGGCTCCCATAGTGGTTTTGTCAAAATAACAAATTCTCTTAGAGAATCATTATCTTTAGCGGGTTTCCATAGTGGGTCTACCAAAATAATGAATTCTCTTAGAGAATCGTTATTTTTAATAGGTTCCTATGGTGGGTTCGCCAAAATAATGAATTCTCTTAGAAAATCGTTATTTTTTCATAGGTTCTCATAGAAAATTCTGAAGGTAAATAAGTTGTCGTCAATGGTAGGTAAGTGGATTTTTTCATTTCTTTATTATTTAATATATTTTTTTTTTATTTCTTGTAGTTATTCTTCGGGTTTCTTTTTTTCTCTCTAAGGTACTTTTGATTTTAGTGGAAAGGAGCTTTTTAATTATTTTTTTTTTTTTTAAAATCAATCTTTCTCTTGAATCATTTGGATTTGAATTTTTATTATAAAATTTCTTTTTTATTTCTTTAGGATTGAACTTTCTCTTTGGATTTTAATATAATATTTGAGTTTATGTATTAGAAGGTGGTTAGAATAATTTTTTTTAATTTTTTTAATTTTAATTTTTTTTTTTTATAGAATCGAACTTTCTCTTCAGTTTCTAAAATAATATTTGAGTTTAGAAGATGTTTTTTTAATTTTTTAATTTTAATTTTTTTTTTTAGAATCTAACTTTCTCTTCATATTTTAAAATAATATTTGGATTTGATGTTTCTTTTAAAGGGTATAGGATGATTTTTTTTTTGATTTTTTAATTTTTTTTTGTAGTAATTTTTTAAAAGTTAAATTGTATTAATTTTTTTTTTAGGAATAAAATAAGTTAATTTTGTAAGAATTTCTTTAGAAATTTTTTTTTTTTTAAGAATTGGATTTTAAGATAAATGGTGATTTCTTACATCTTATAATATAATATAATTTAAAATTTTTTCTTTATTACAAAGTGAGATAAAACTTTGTTATT